AGTAAATTAAGTGGTGTAACAGACGACAGTAAATTAAGTGGTCTAACAAAAGGCAGTAAATTAAGTGGTCTAACAGACGACAGTAAATTAAGTGGTCTAACAGACGCCAGTAAATTAAGTGGTCTAACAAAAGGCAGTAAATTAAGTGGTCTAACAGACAAAAGTAAATTAAGTGGTGTAACAGACGACAGTAAATTAAGTGGTCTAACAAAAGGCAGTAAATTAAGTGGTCTAACAGACGACAGTAAATTAAGTGGTCTAACAGACGCCAGTAAATTAAGTGGTCTAACAAAAGGCAGTAAATTAAGTGGTCTAACAGACAAAAGTAAATTAAGTGGTGTAACAGACGACAGTAAATTAAGTGGTCTAACAGACAAAAGTAAATTAAGTGGTGTAACAGACGACAGTAAATTAAGTGGTCTAACAGACGACAGTAAATTAAGTGGTCTAACAAACGACAGTAAATTAAGTGGTCTAACAAACGACAGTAAATTAAGTGGTCTAACAAAAGACAGTAAATTAAGTGGTCTAACAGACGACAGTGAATTAAGTGGTCTAACAAACGACAATAAATTAAGTGGTCTAACAAACGGCAGTAAATTAATTGGTCTAACAAACGACAGCAGTAAATTAAGTGGTCCCATAAACGACTTACAATTGAAATCATCCAATGAAATAAATCAGAAACACAATGAATTACCTTACACTAAACTGAAATTGGCTTTCCAATGTTTTTGTTTTTTTATATATTTTTTAAATTATTGTTTTCCCTTTGTTAAAAGCATTCACTTTTTATTTGTATCGGAGGTCGTGGGTAGGAAGGTGAAAATTAAATGGTAGATGATCTGTTTGGTCGGTAATCGTCATTTAGCGTATAACTTCTCACACACATTTTACATTTGTATAGACTGGAACATGCATTAATGTTGTTGCAGTCCTTTTGGCCAGAGACGAGTAGGTTCAACTCCTGATCTATTTGGCCCTAACCCTAACCCATTCTTACTTAATGACACTGTCAAGGGCCGTGCGGGGGATTTTCGGGCCCCCTTGGGGAAATTCAGATTTCGGGCCCCCCACACATTTCAAAATAATTATAACAATTTGTATAGATTTCCACAGTTGGGAGCCCCCATGCGGGCATGCCCCCCTCCCCCGAGTGATTTATTCTGAGCGTGTGACTCTGATGGTGTGTCTCTGATGGTGTGTCTCGGACAGTGGGACACTGACGCCTCGCATTAGAGTAGTCTTAGTCTTATTATAATTAATTTATTTTTTCCATTCCACCTGTAGCTTTAGGAATAAAATGTCCAGATCTAGAGCCTCCAGAAAATGGTGTTATCATTGGAGAGGGCACACGAGTCGGGTCAGTGGTGTACGTACGGTGCCACGAGGGATACAGACTGGACGGCCCCACTGTCATGGCGTGTGTGCCTGTGGCGCACGGGGCCCAATGGGACCCCAAGCTAAAACGAGTTTGTATAGGTAAGTACCATTCGTAAACCTACCTTGTTGTAAACTTGATTTTAAACCCTAAAAAAAAATTAACAAATTGATTTCGTTGATATGTTGACACTATCTGATATACGGAAGATGTCGTTTGAGATTGGAGAGCGACCGAATCCAACCCCTTTATTCCTTTGTTGACTTTTCATTGTCAACCCATGCAGAGACACCTAAATTCAATCACCTTATTCATTTGGTTGTTCATGCCAACCCATGCAGAGATATGAATACCCCTTCTTCTAAACAGTATGACAATTAACATAGTCACTTTGTGTTTCAAACCTTCAAGACAAACCTAGGCACCAATGTTTTATTATATTTTGTAGGAACTTTCTCGCAAGTAGGCTTCAAAAACGTGTGTTTTCAAAAAATTATTATTGTATTCCATTTTTCACATAGCTGCAATGAATGATAATTTATGTTGAAAGTTTCACATAATATCATATTTGTGATGAAGCCATTACACTTACAGAAGCTGTTTTTTTTTTTTTTTTTTTTTTTAATTTATAATTTTTTTTTATAATTTATTTTTTTTTTTTTTTTTTTTTTTTTTTTTTTTTTTTTTATTTTATTTATTACACTTACAGAAGCTGTTTTTTTTTTTTGTTTTTTTTTTTAAATTATAAATTGCTTTCATAAATGAATTTTATGTATTATTTTTTTTTTTGTGTTAATTGTTTCAATTTACTGGCTATTCCATGAATTATAAAATGCGATTATGTTTTTGTAAGGGGCAAATTAAAAATGAAGTTAAAAAAAATAAAAAAAATTATTGTTAATACCTTAACGAAGTGGCTATTCGCACACGGGTACCAGAAGTGAGAGGTTGGGATTAAAAAAAAACTTTTAAAAATATTATTGTTGGGTTTCTAGGACAAAATGAGGTATCAAATGAAAAATAATTGAATGATGGACTATATGTTTGTAAACTTAATTCTTCAGTGTAATTAAAATAAAATACCACAAATGACATCCGAATAGCATTGAGTCTAATGGGACTCGGGTGCGAATGGCGGCGATTCGAGTCAGGGTCCATTTTGACTAAATGCTATTCGGATGTCATTTGTGTTAGTTTATTTTAGTTAAACTGAAGAATTAAGTTTACAAACATATAGTCCATTCAATTATCTTTCATTTTATACCTCATTTTGTCTTACAAACCCAACAATGATAATTTAAATAGGTTTTTAATCCCAACATCTCACTTCTGGTATCCGGGTGCGAATAGCCACTTGGTAAATAAAATATGTTGTCCATGAAATTAGGAAAGCTTTCAAATATTATTTCGTAATTTGTCATTTATAGAGTTGGTAATATAATGGGGGAGATGTCTGTCATTTTGAGAATTTAAAAATTACTTGGTTTCTAGTTAACATTGATGCTCCAAAGGTTGTTGTAACCTTTTGTCCCATTTTCATCATAAAACAGATGCCGATAACATAACGATACGCTTCTGGCACAAATAGTCCAGCTTAAAAAATAAATATAATGTAGTATACTATACCAGAAGCTCTGCTGTTCCAATTTCAAGATTTTATTTTGAACCAACTTCCGTCGAAAATTTTTTTATTTCGTACAAATTTCCGGTAACGGTAACCAATGTTCCCTTTAAGCTGCGCGGCTGCGCAGTAATCTCACAGACGCCGCGCAGCAGTTTTGAGTATCCGCGCAGTAAATTTCCATGCAAGTTTGTATTTGTGGGCTGTATAATTTTGCACACAAAAAAATCGATGTAAAACTTTGCACACAACTATATGATTTTGCACACAAACCAGCAAACCTTAGAGGGAACATTGGCCACACCCCCAACCCCCCCCTTTTTTGTGTGAGTGTAAGCGCCACTGCAAGTTAGTTTACTAACTTAAAATAACTATAGTATTATTCAATAGTTCTATCGACTTTCTTGTCACTAGAGGGCAGAGCTAACTTCGAAGAAGAAACATCGCTCATAGACAACGACAGCGCGGACACGCGCCAGGAGTCACCGCCCAGAGACACAGAGAACAGGCCAATGCAACACCAGAGCCCAAGTTTTATCGATCCCAAGGTCCACTCTTCATGGCTACATCACCCCATCAAAACAGAATCCAGTCACGAAGATGAAGGTACAGTTGAAAAAAGTGTACCGTAGCTCAACACACATTGAAAAACTGTAAACAAAGGGTGTACTTAAATAAGATAAGATATTATTACAAGAATCTTCATCCTATCCTAAATCCTAAACAACAGAAATTAATACATGTAATTATATAATTTAATGCAGGGGCAGGGGATTTCGTGTTGGATTAAGTGTTTTGATTTAGGATGATTCCATTCAATGTTAATGGAGGCGTTATTAGCCGTTATACACAGTCGGCTGGGGAATGACGTCTCAACCTGACCTTAATTCCCAGCCCATAAATGGCTTGCTAATACTACCGCTAGCAAATACAAAGAAGAAGAAAAGTCTGTAGCGGAATTGTGGCCTGATTTACAGTGATTTGCACGTATATTTTTTTAAATTTTAAAATACTTTATTACGATAGCAATATCACTATTATTATTCCAATCGGCTGAGAGTAAAGCTCCGAAATAAAAAAAAGATAAGCAATCACTCTTGGAAAGTAGTTCAGGGTCTATAACTCATCATTCTAATAAGGAATATTCATTTTAAATAATCACCATTTGATCCTCCTACATTATTGTGTTAGGGCTAAACGAACTTTACGGTAATTGTTAATAATAAATAAATAATAAATGGAAGAGAAAAACAAAACTTATCGTGTTTAGTATTTATTCCAGATAGGTTTAGAAACTTTCTATAACTTTATTATATTATGGCCTTTGATATATGTTGGAATAAAAGCAGGTGGATTCTGACTTTATTATCTATTATACATCTATGATAATTCTCTGTATTATTATTAGATAATGGACTTTTAAATTACCGTATGTTATAATTATAAGCATCAAAAAAAAAAAAAAGATCAACAAAAAAGTTTTTTGAAAATATTTATTCGTTCGTTATGTAAAGCACTAGATGTTCTTGCTTTTTAAATTACCGTATTTTATAATTATAAGCATAAAAAAAAAAAAAAAAAGATCAACAAAAAAGTTTTTTGAAAATATTTATTCGTTCGTTATGTAAAGCACTAGATGTTCTTGCAGTGAATGTAATATACCCGGTATTTTTTTTAAAGTTCTTAATGTCTGTGGTCATGTAACAGGTATCAGATATCATTATCTCAACTAAATCTAAATGTTATCATACATGTGTAATTGTAATAGTCTACCAAAGAGATAACACTCACAGATAACTGTTGTGCGCTGTAGACCAAATATGTGACAATTGTTTTGTTTTTTTTAAAGGCTTTTCTTCTCTCCCATAAGATGTTACCACACCAAGCTATTTAGTATTCTCAAGAGCTATTATTTATTAAGAATAATATTACTAAATACGTTGTTTTTTTTAAAAATGCACTCTAATTAAAATCACCTCTACTTCTTCATCTACAAATTAAGCAACAGTGGTTGCAAATCTTTTCCAACATCATTGACTCCTCTTTTAGGTAGAGATGGTCATTTGGTGTGGCACTCAAAAACTTCTTAAGGAAAGCTATAAAAAAAATACAGTATGGTACCAATTGATTTGTTGAGGAAAACCGTTAAGTCTATTTAGACTTAAAGTATTATTTGACTTTTAACTTTAACCAAACACAATGAACAGCACAGCTACCGTACTTAAAATATTTCTTACATTAGGTACCGGTAATCATAGAAATTAGTTGGTAGGGTGGGAGGTGTACACCAGACCAAAGTGTAAAGACTAAAACTAAAATGCAAATATGAACATTAAAATCTTGTACCGGTACTTGTATAGTGTTAAGTATCTGTACCGGTACATATAGGTAGTATTAGTAGTACTAGTAGTGTTCCATCTTTACAAATTTGCTAGGCTTCCTAATAGTAATTGTGAGTGCTCATGATTAAATTTTCAATTATTATTTCAATTTTTTTAGAGCATAGCGAGCCTTCACAAGAAGAAATGGAACAAATACCTGAACATTGTCAAGATTTCCCTGAGGTGGGACCTTGCAAAGCAGCATTTAAACGTTACTTCTTCAACAAGTCCACATTCGAATGTCACTCATTTATTTACGGAGGTTGCCACGGTAATCGAAACAATTTTGAATCACTGGAGGAGTGCAACACTGCCTGTTTGAGACATGCATGAGAGCCTTCATAGCGTGTTCTGACAAGATGTTGGAAGGTCAATAAAATCAGTTTGTTGAAGTTTTTAAATCCAGTTGTTTCAGATATGTTATCTATTCTATTATCTAAATCTAAATGTGAAAGTTGAATATTAAGTTATGTCTTTTACTACTTTTAGTATTAGTATGCAAAACTGTGTGCATGGATTATTTATGAATGCAAAGTTGTTCTGTTTAGCAGCGGGAGCGTGGCAATATCTGATGTTGAGTATTTGCCAGTAATAAGGTGATAGAAAAAATGTTGTAGCACTGTTAAGTGTGGTTCTTATGGTTCAGGGATTACTTTATCATAAACCCAGTGAAATCTTAACCAAGTGACATGATTACTTCAGATTCATTGTACAATTAACATTCCAATTCAACAGCAGGAGGCTACAACTACAATTATTTTTAACTTATTAAATGAAGTTACCTTTTCTGAAGGCAACTGCATATCCCACATAATGAAATTAACTTTTAAAAAGTACTTTTTAATTTTAAATTAAATTAAATCCAGAAAAATTTAAATACCGGTCTAATAAAGTACTAATATCAAGTCTCAGTATTATTTCACTGTCTCAGATGTAATTGATTTAAATTTAAGATTTTTATATTTAAGGCTCATTTAAGATTAATAACTGTACAAATGATTAATTCTTCAATAATCAGTTGATTACTTCTTTGTATAATTAATACTAATTGATAATTTTTGTAAAAAAAAAAAAAGATAATCCCAGAATCAAACTTAGAGTTGTTAAAAACCAACTTATTACAATCTTATTGGATGAATGAAATTTGGGATTTTCACAAGTTTTTTAAATTCTTATACCATAGCCCAACATGTATTGATTGTATTGGTATATTGTAAATTGTTTTGAAACTGCAGAATGGAAAGTTCACTGAAGCAGCAAGTTTGCATGTTTACCATCTTTTTTGAAAATCACATATCAATTTATCACAAAACTTGAAAGCACATGCATATTAAATTGACTGGATGGGGATGTTGAAAAATCATAACCAACTTTTATACATGTTCTTAATTTCTATCAGCAAAGATTTCTAACAATAAAAATTTTAAATGCCTCCAGTGTTTGTTTCACAATTCAAGTAACATTTCATATTTAATTATTACTGTATATAAATATCAGTATATACCAGTACTCATTCTAAAGCTGACTTGTAGGGAGGGGAATATTTCAGAACATGAGTGAGCCATGAGAGATTTCTATAATTTTGTATGAATCTAAATTGACATAGGTATGGTAGTTGTAGAGCTCAGAGGTTTGTAGTCTACCATTCCCTTTAAATAAAAGATTAAAATTTGTTATGAAGAAGCATTAAAAAAACATCAAAGTAGCTATTAATTCATTTAAAGGACCAGCATAATCTAACCATCCACATGGCATATTATTTCATGGAGTCAGCTCATGAGCGGTTTGTACACTTTTCAGATTTTCCCAGTACAAATCATATATTGTAACAAGCTCTTTCAATTTTAACAAGAAATGAGTCACACTTAAATTAGTTATGAATATTTTTAAAGATGACACTAAAAAATAAATAATAATTTCACGAATTTCAATGTAATTTATTCAGCATTTAAGTTTAAGCAATGATCTCATAAGGAATTGGTGTGAGGAACTCAGGCTTGACAAGTTTGGTGCTGACGAAGTGGGCTTTCCTAGGCTGGGCAGGCTGAAATAAAACACAGATGGAATGAGTGCACAAATAGTGGTTACCTTAGGGAGCACAAAATATTCGTATATTTGTTAGTTAACCACAGGTACTGATGATAAATGTCTTCTTAAAATTTGTTTCAAGAATTAAAAATAATCATACTTTTGTCAAACAAAAAGAACCCAACTTCCTTTGTGTTAAATGTTTTTTTAAAACTTCGATACAGTTATCAATATAATATATAATGTAGATCTGTTTCGGTGAAATATCACTCATTAATTGGGATATTTTATGGATACCGGTCACAAATCTTAATGAGATCTAATAAGTCCCTGATATGGCTAAGAGAATTCACTAAAGGCTGTTTATTTTTATTTATTTTTTTTACTAGTGAAATAATTTATCATAATCAAATTGTGTTATTTATGTGCTGAAAATGTACAAATCAAAAAACATTTCCATTTGTTTTGATCAATAAAAGAATCTTAACTTGTCTTTAAATAATTATTAAATCATTCACAATAAGGTTTTTAAAATAATTTTGCGCCAAGTCTACAAAAGATAATCTGCAGGCGTAATAGTTTTCATTTTTTTTTTACCACATTATGTGCAAAACTAAATATAAACAATAAATGCACCCCCACTGTCTCTTTTTACCTATATGCTTAGAGATCTAACTTAAAGAAAAAATATTTAAGGCTACTTTTCCATGTTGGTAACAGTTTTGGAATACACGTACCAGTGACAGCGTGTAAGAGAGCAGGGTAGCAATAGCTTATCTTAGTTATCAGATACTAGTACTCTATAATGAATTTTTTTTTTAAATATGAAACATGTCCAATAATAAAAAGTGCTGGTTCACTGTCAACTCTTGCGTTGACATCAGCCTTTGTTATAATCCTTAATGTCATACTTTTAGACATGTCGATCAAAGAAACCATTAAGATGAGCATCCACTTATGGTGATCAGAGGATGTTTTTCCCATTCTAGATGAATGGTTACATTCTAGGGCCATAGGAGCACCTGTAACACTTCAATGCATCTCTACAGCCGGATATTGTAATAAGGTGCCCCAAAAAGTATCTCTATGTATTTGATTGATTATAAAAAGTAAAATGATTTATAATGAATTTCTGTACCTTAAATGTATAATAACTTTAATTTACAAGCTAAATTACTTAATAGGAATTGGCCTATGTAAAAGGTTGTTTTATCAGTAAGCTGACTAGCTTACTGGTGCAGTTCTTGTCAGAACTTATGTTTTATGTACTAGATACAAAACTTAGATCGACAGGTTTGAGGTAGCCCAGCGATGGGCAGCACGCTTTGTCCTGAGCTGCTACAGGAACTTCTCAAGTGTTGGCAGCATGCTGAAACCACTGGGCTGGTCACCATTGGAAAATCGACAATCCAGCCTCTCCATGTTCAAGATAAAAATGGACTGGTACACTGATCCAGCATTGAACAGAAACTCATCTCTCTTCCCCACTAGACATTGACGAGGCCATGGCGGGCGCAGTTCGGGCCCATAACAGCAAGAACACAGTACAGGAACTGCTCATTTCTGCCAAATCAGGGACTGGAAGCTTGCGAAAGGAACAGTTGAGGTGACAACACTTGATACATTTGCGTCTATTGCCTTCTGCCCGATACCCTCGCTGATTAACCCTTGCAACCAGTGAATTATCCTTTTCAAAACCAAGCACAGAAACATTGCAAATCCCTCTACATAAAAAGGAACCAGAATGATCAATACATTGATTGTAGGCCCCCAAAATATAGAAATCAAGCCTGCAGCCAAAAAAAAATTAAATTCTCTAATAGACAGCAGGATACAACTTTTATAAACCTTCTCTTACCACTCTCTTAGTAAGGGCGGGAATACCCTTCTCCTTGGCTAGTTTCTTAAGAGCTTCATTCCTCTTGACACGTTTCAAGAAATCAAGTCTGCAGTTGCTGTGCTTGATGTGCTCAATCCTTACATTAATCTTCTTTGGGATGATGCGGTTGCTAAGAATTTTAAAAAAATGAAAATATTAATTGCTGGTGAGTTAATGGTCTTGTCTCACAAGCAGGGAAAGAACACTTTTAACTAGACAAAAGGTTTAATGTTAAAAAATAAATAAATAACTGTTAAAAGTATTTTAAAAGGTAGTCAGTATAAATGATCCAGTGAATACTAAACTTTTGAGTCTCTGCTGTATTGCTGAATTCAGGTTTCCCCAAGGTTCACTAAGTAAAATTCTTAAGTAACCTCATAATATCTACTAAAGTTGCACTAAATAAAACGCATATAGAATATTGTTTTAATAAAAAGGTTAGTTAATCTTTGAGCACCTAAAAAGGTTTGATGTTACCTTCCCAACCTTGTTTATTGGAAAAAAAGAGAAAATTGGACTCCTTGCTGGCAAGTGGGTAGTCAAAAATGGAGGATTTTTCCAAAATTTAAATCACTAACCCACTTCTAGTAATGCTACACAAAATTCTGGTGAAATGTTCTTTACATGTGCTTAGAATCGTATTTTGATTTACCTTATTGTGTTTCAAAACACTTGTGGCTTAAAGCCTATTTAAAAATCAGAATAATTCTACCACCATGAGAAAGAGCAGATGCAGATCTTTCATTTGATATATAGAAAGCATATCTATCTTGATTATTTTATTTTGAAAAAGTACTATTTCTAGCCCTACAAGCATGCGTAGCCACCACTAACTTAATTTGTGCAAGAAATTAGGTATATTTAAAGATACTGTGTGCATTGGAGCCATCGTCAACTGGGCTGGGTTACATTTTTTAGATTGGACTTTATGTATTTAATTGAGGTCATTTATCTAGCAATAAAGAAACTTTATGAAATGATGCAGACTTAATTAATGCTTGACGAATTGTATTTTATAAATTTTAAATAAGTCTTGTTATTGATTTTAAGATTTAATTTTTGTCTGATAAAAAAAAAAAAAATGGTTGACGGAAAGTCTGTGTGAGTGGGCCGACGCAAATTATAATACAAGAAGAATATTTAAAGTCAATAAAACATTCTAAAAAAACAAGATAATTGCACACTATGTGAGAGTTTCAATATTAGTTCATCTTAGATTCGCTAATACTACTACCTACGTTTGTTTTTAAGTGGGGAACCGGTAGTCAACTTTAAGTAAAAATCTTTTTTTTTTCTTCTCAATTTTCCAAAATGTCTTTATTTGGTTACAATTGACAATAGCCTATTATAAACACAATCCCCACATAAAATTTGTTAAGAATAATTTTTTTAAGTACATAATTTGTCCTAATGTAACATGTATCTAGGCTACCATTTCAGGAAACTGGCTTTCCGACACATTATGGTAATGTAAAAACCTTTTACAACCACATTCCTTCAAGCCTAATGCTAGGCCTCTTTGGAAAGCTTAGACCACTGGCAATCACTGTGACCTCCTAATCTCAAAATCATTCTGCTTAACAAAGAAAAGCGAGCTGTCAAATTTGTCACATTGGTTGTGTATTTACACGCCTTATACTTCATCGTGTAGTAAACTCTAATTTCATTGGTCATCAATTAATAAGCTTACCAAAAATAGCAAAAATTAGGTGCCCAGTGTACCAAAATGCAACAGTTATTTTCGTTTTGAAACCATTGTGTTGATATTTAACTATCCTACGTTTGTCAGACACATTGGATTTATCAAAGGCTGCTCTTTTTGTCTTATTTTATTTGTATATAACAAGCGCAATTAAATATAGATGTAGTATGCTTTACTATTTCATTATTTAAAATTGTTAAAATTTATTTTAGTAATACTAGGACTAGCAACAGCTTCATGGATATGGACCACCCTGTATAATCATTCTTAACACTGGACACAAAGGATGTTCATATTCACCTTTAGCATATCTGATGCTACACAACAGTGACTGCACTTAGCTATGATTTATTTATTGGGATTAAATCTACTATAAAAAAAATGGAGAATGAAACTTGCACTTATAGATTTTTTTTTTTTAAATGTGTGTGTATAGGGTACTTATTCTAGGACCTGTAAATGTTTCTTGATACCATTAAAATGTCAGTGCACGGTGTGCATTTTAAAAGTATCTTTCATTTGATATATATGTTTATGTAAGCCAAAATTTTACCCCCCAAAAAAATATGATATTTTGAAGTTGTTCATTATTGCACTTTTTTGGTCCCAAAATAAAAACTATTAAAAAGCATTCTTGGTCATTTTAACAAAAACTTTTGTATAAATAGTTTAAGCTGCTTGAAAAAAAAAAACAGGTTAAATATAAACTTTGTAGCAAGCACGCTAATTCCTGGACTTCTGTTGATTATTTTAGAAGATAAAGGTTCTTAAAAATGGCCCCGTCTCAAAATTTAAAAATATGATATCTTGTAAGACTTTAAAATTTATTTTTACTGAAAATGACAAGCAATAACATTGGAGATTGGTTAACTTAAAGGGTTAAACACTTTGGGAACCACTGGAAGGTGATGAAATAATCATCAAAAACTATTGTCCCATATTGCATTAAAGGAAGTTATAGTATGCATACCCAAGCTGTTTATTTACTTCAACTCCAACAGCATGTGGGGTAACGTTGAAAACACGACCAGTCTTTCCATGATAAAACTTGTGTGGCATACCTTTTTGAATAGCACCATCACCCTGAAAAACAATGTATTATTTAAAGCATGCTTTTGCCTATTTCTCTTTCTAACTAGTACGTTAGGATTAAAAAAGTTACATGAGAAAATAGGAAAAAGACATTTAAAACTGGGGTAAACATGTAGTTAGCAGAATGGGTTTTGCCAGGAATTGTATCCCCTAACCGCAGTGATGTCATTTTGGGGAATCCCAATACTGGACTATCTCAACTGTGACAGGATCAACAGTTGGACCCCTCCCACCTCTTTTTAAGACGCTTTTTTTTTTTTTAAATTTATCAAATAAATACATGGGACCTGGGAAACCATGACTTGTATACCATGGAAGATATCGCCAGCCCTGCCACTAAGTATAATTTTAGCCTAAACTGGAAGGGAAAAAAATAGGTCAATCAAACCTTAATGTCAACTATGTCTCCACGCTTGTAAACTGACATGTAACGAGAAAGCTTGGTGACACCTTTCGTTCTGAATTTACGTGAGAACATGTACCGCGTACCGCGGCGATAACCTTTAGGATTAGTCATCTTGATTTACTGGAGAAGAAAAAAAATCATAATAATTAAGTTATTAAGAAAAATAATTTATGTTAACTATTAGTAGCATTAGGCATTTATTTGAAGAGGCTCAGCAGGTTCTTAGATTAATTCTTACATTGAGTGAATGAAGATTATACTCAAAATGCTAAAAATGATTATGCAGCATGCAAAGGCAAAGTTATTTTACTTGGGGCCAAAATTGGGCAAAGGCCTAATTTTTAAAACTCAATATATATTTACAAGAAGGAAGAAAATATGATAATTAATGACATACAATTAGGCACTATTCTATGTTACTTTTAAACAATAAAACATTAAAATAAGTCTTAAGCAGGCCTATCATACTGCATACTACTGCAAAAATGTTTGCCGTCACGCGAGTTATCGGTAACAGGTCTGAAGGATAAAAATCATCATAGTGTAAAGTTTTTATTTTGATATATCGTCTTAAAGCCACCCATCATTTGTATAAATAAAGTTCAAAGTTTCTGAAATAAAATAAACAAATTAAATGAGAAAATTTTGAATATTTTAGTACATATAAAAAATTAAATGCGTACCAAATGTGTTGCCCGTCCACCACACGGCAAAGTTGAAGAAGAAAAGGAACCGGTGCATACGTTTTTTTGGTACCAGGAAGGTATGACATGAACGTGCCGGTTTGAGGTTTGAACTGTTTCTGAAAATTGTTTCTGAAAATTACTTATCTAGAAATAATAAGATTACCTAATACACTTGCATAGAATCATTTTTGGTGCTTCTTTTGTCATTAAAAAAGAATACGGGTGAAGTATAAAAAAGAATTTAAATTTCGAACATTATTTAGCTTACACCATTGGTTGTTCTCGCACTCTTAATTTTTTTTTGTTGTTTTTTTGTTTTTTTGTTTTTGTTTAAGTCACCACAGGGGTGTAATACAGTCTCTCTATCATATATACTTGTAGAATGAATAAAACAGAGTAGGGTTAAACCTGAAAAAAGAAATGCAACGTGTCGGCAGAAAGCCTTCGTCAGCGAACAAAACAACAGAAAAAAACGGTATAAAAATAAGAAATATCACTTAGCTTGGACGTAATAATGAAGGATGGTGAGGCTTTATTTAAAGAAAAAAAGAAACAAGCAACAACATTTTCGGTTAAAATGCTTCTTTTGCAGAGATAGTAAAATATTTTTAACTTATATATAACTAGAACCGTCGTGTGGGTCCTGGAACCTCTCCGGCGACTGCCTCGTCACTTATCCAGTGGGGGAGCAGGTGTATCGCCCACTTTCCTGTGACCATTTTTCTAAAATTGGGGCCTTTTGAAAGATATTTTAAAAATTCAGTTTGTAAAAAAAAGAATTTTGTAAAACTTGGATTCAATTAATAAAAATAATTTTTTCATGGGTGTAATTTCTGTAGAGAAAAAAAAAGTGTAAAATCTACTTACGATAACTTAAGCAACATTAGCGAAATTCAGTGTGTCTCAATTTCTCGTCTTGTTCACATGGACGTCATTTGTTTAGGCCAGGGGGGAATCCCCCCCCCCCCCCCCCCCCCCCCCCGTCTTTTTTTTTTTTTTTTTTTTAATTGCTACGTAAGGCGCAATTTGAAGATCGGCAACTCAAGCGTGAAAGAAAAAGCCTATAAAGCCTTTGTCCGGCCGCTTTTTGAGTACGCATCTACGGTCTGGGACCCATTTACCCATAAAAACATCGACAGGTTGGAGGCGGTCCAGCGACGGGCAGCACGCTTTGTCCTGAACCGCTACAGAAAACCTCATGCAGAGGCGTAGCGAGGGGGGGGGCAGGGGGGACTGATGTCCCCGGGCGCCAGCTAGCTAGGGGCGCCAAAATGACCTTTGATATTATATTATTGGTAAAAATAATAGGTTTGAGAGTTAAAAAAAGAAAGGGGGGGGGCTTTAAAATGGATATTGTGCCTGGGCGCCAAATACCCTCGCTACGCCTCTGATCTCATGTGTTGGCAGCATGCTAGAAACACTGGGCTAGTCACCATTGGAATAACGAAGACGATTATCCAGCCTCACCATATTATACAAGATTTTAAAAAATGGGCTGGTCCACTACTCCGACATCAAACAGAAACTCGTCCATCTTCCCCCTAGACAGCAACGAGGCCACGACAGGCAGTTCCGGCTAATAAAAACAAGAACTCAGAATAGGAGCTCCTCATACCTGCCAAAGACAATAAGGGACTGAAACAAGCTTCCATTTCAACAGTTGAGGCAGCTACATTCGACACATTTGTATCTATTGCCTACCGTCTTCCAACCCCCAGTTCATAACACCACTGCTGAGTAGCCCTAGCAACCAGTTAAGCATCCCCTTGAAAACCATGCACAAGAACATCGCGAACCCCTCTGAAACATAGGAGCCAGAATGATCAATTCATTGATCGTGGGCCCTCAAAATAAAGAAGAGAAGAGGTCTACTGCGGTGCCTCCAGTAATAAACAAGCTGGTCAAGTTTTGCCCCCCCCCCCCCCTCCCCCAACCACCACGTGAAAAAAAAAAAAAATGACATTCCTGCCAATACCATACTAAATTGAAACACAGATCAAAAGGGAATGCTGCGATTAGAAATGCGCTACATAGGAAGATAAACCGAGAGGTTTACCAATCATATGTGTGAGTTTAAAAGATACTAAAAAAATATAAACATTACAAGAAAAACAAAGAAAACTATTTATAAAACTGTAATCAGACCAGTTGTAACATATGCAAGTGAAACTTGGACCCTAACAAAAACGTCAGAAAATTTTTTTAACACATGGGAGAGAAAAACTTCTCCTGAAAATATATGGACCGAAAAAGGATGCATATGGATGGCGAAAACGAAACAATCAGGAATCGTCCAGTGTATATCAGGATCCCACGCTAGAAGCATAAATAAAAAAGGGTAGGCTACACTGGGCAGGACTGCAGGGCACGTAAAAAGAATGCCAAATGACAGGGTACACCACTAAAGCCACAGAGGAAAACTGCTCAGAGGCAGACCTAGACTTAGATGGATGGATGATGCAGAAAAATATCTACAGCGGCTGTGAATCCAAGCATGGAAAAGAAAACCATTCGTTAGGTCTTAGTGGAATGAAGTAGTGAGGCAGGCCAAAGCCCTTCATCGGCTGCAGCGTCACAGGGATGGATGTGTGACAGTAACGCCAAGATCCAAAATGGATAAATCTATTTATTTTAAATACTTTTTAACATACTTTTTTATTACAGTAGTTTAAATAAATAAAAAATATTAAATTAAAAGAATAAAACAGCATTAATATTTGGTAAAAACTAAAATTAATTATTTGTATAACGATTCTGGTCAACGAACCTAACTTTCCACAAGTGTCTCTTCTGTTGCTATCAGATTCAGTTAGAATGATGAAAAACTAAATTCCGGTATGTTCCAAAATGAATCCATGCATTTTAAATTTATCAACAATTTTTCCGAGGGCCCCCTCCCCCATTTTCTGCTACATCCCTGTTTAAAGTGACATCACCGGAAACCTTTTTGGGCACCAGCTAGTATGGCACCAATGTTCCCTCTAAGGTTTGCTGGTTCATGTGCAAAATCATACAGTTGTGTGCGAAGTTTTACAGCATCAATTTTTTGTGTGCAAAATTTTACAGCCCACAAACACACTCTTACATGGAAATTTGCTGCGCGGATACTCAAAACTGCTGCGTGGCGTCTGTGAGATAGCTGCGTGGCCGCGCAGCTTAAAGGGAACATTGTATGGCACCCAGGGTATCTGGCCCCTCTCTGGTCACCTCCTTATTTGTTAAATATAATTTTCACCCCCCCTTAGCAGCAAAACAAGGATATTCAAGGGGTACGTAGTTGTGTGTGTGAAAAAAAAAACATATAAAGTTTTATTGCAAGGGGCACAAAACATACAAATGGCCTTAATGGCCTTCTAACGTATCGATATAAAAGAAAACTAATTACCAGGGCTTATTCAAGATGAAATGAAATAGCGAAACGAGGTATGTGGAAGCTTAAATACTGCTTGAGTTGTCTACTGTGCTCTGTTCTTTGTTATATTTTCATTTCTACTGTTGGCTGAGGAAGGCTTTATGCCGAAACGTCCTTGTTTTTTGTCCTGTTATCTTATTTCAAGCTTCCACATACCTCGTTTCGCTATTTCATTCATTTACTAAGCTTGAAAGCAATCCTTTCATTTATATTTTATTCAAGATGATCCGGTGCAAATATTTGCACAAGTCCTAATTAATCTTAATTTTTAAAAAAATACATAAAAATTTAGTGGTGCAACGTTTTTAAAAATATTTTTTCTTTACATTCTTGATCCTACTGATGTAATTGTGTATCCAGAGAAGGCAAATACGCTCCTAGTTGTGTTATATAAAATTATATAAAGGGTACCCATATATCTGAATGAAATAACATAATGACCATTATGTAAAAGGAGCACTGCTCAGAGTAGTTGACATTTTGTGTGGATGTGTCTTGTCACGCTTACTTCTCTATAAAAAAAAGTAAATAAGATTTCATTGTGCGCAAGTATAATAACATATTATTGCACCAGAAATATTTTCAAGTAAATAACGCTATTTATTACACCGGACAATGAATATGCCAAATAAACGTTATAATTAAATTCGAGATGCATTTTGGCTTTTAAAGGTCTGCTCCACTCATAAGATATTCTCACACATTGTTAAATATTTTTCTTTTTTAAAATGAATTTGGCTTTACATTTTTCATTTAAATGTGTATTAATTTCAGCACTGAAGGAAGTGAAATTTTAGTTCTCAATTGATTTGCTAAAACTAGCATTTGCAGAGTAATTGCCCATAATGCACCAATGAAAACAATATGGCTGTTTACCTGCATAGAATACTTCCTGATGAAAAATCTAAAATAAATGTTTGAAGTTCTTTTAAAAAAGTGTGCATAAAACGTTGCAAACATAACTACTTTGAAGCCAAACTTTAGCGCCTGCTGCGCTGTTGGAGAGATGGTAAGTACACATAAGCTTTCTCTACCCCACCTTTTGTTTCCAAACCACTCTGCTAGTACAACAATAAACAATATATAACATATAAATATTATATTATTATATCAATATTACATTTATTTATTTAGGCATTTTTATATAGCGCTTACCTTAAAGCTCTAAGCGCTTTACAATGATTAAAAACATGTAAACTAACTAAAATAAAAATGAGTCATTAGGATAGTAACTACTTTACTATACTATAGTGACTATAGAAACAATTAAAATGGCTATAAAACGAGGACACTTTGGCACGTTTTGGCCTATACTACAGGATTAAACCGAAACAGAAAATGAGGCAGGGCAAGGAGGGTGCATCACAGGTCATAGGCGGACCTAAACAGATGGGTTTTAAGGGACTTTTTAAAAGTGGACGAGGTTTCACAATGACGGATATGGAAGGGGAGCTGGTTCCAGAACGTGGGCCCATGGAAGTACTATTAGTAATTACTATTACTTAAAAATTAGGCTGTGGCCAAAGAGAAAAAAACAAGAACTAGAACTTAGATGACTTAGTTAGCTATGCTGAATTCACATGCGATTTATCATTATATGCATTTATAGGCCTAGGTGTCTTAAGTGGGCCCTTATTAAATATTTTGTGGTAGAAGTGTACCTTTGTAGCCCTAATAATATAAATAAAGATAAATGTGTAGTTTGTGTAGTTTGTGAGTGGCACGAGTTTTGTCAAGAGTATGACTTTGACATTTAATCAAAATAACTTAGACCAGGGGTCTCAAACTCAAATCATCCGGGGGCCGCAGGAGGTAGAGTCTGAGTGAGTGAGACTGGGCCGCATCAAGTATAAAGTGATTACAAATTCAATAAAGCACAACTGTTACAATCTGCTCAACCTTTATTAATAATAAATGAAAACATTAAGGGTTCACAAGAACTAGGCTTCGCTTTCTTCCTCCTTCTCCCTCCTTCTCCCTGTTGCCAGAGACCTGGCAGTGCTTCTTCTTACACAGCTGAGAAAAATTTAGCTTGAGTGAGGAAGCAACTGAGACCCTCATTATAGCTTGAAGATGTTAATCAGTAAGTTGGCCCTGAATTTTGACTTGTTAAAGTTCATAGTGGAAAAGAGCTTTTCACACAGATAGGTACTCCCAAAAAGTCATATGATCCGCTTGAACAACCTGGAAATCTTAGGGAAGGTGGAGGGCAATGATCTGATAAAATGTCCATGCTTGTATTTTTCCATTCACCTCCCTGAACTTAGAATTGCACTGAAGATCAATCAGCCCCATTTGAAGCGAAACAAAAAGTGTGTGGGGGGGGGTGCATCTTCCATATTGAAGGAGAAAGGGTCTGGAAAACGTTGAAAAGTGGCTCTGTGTGCTTTGAAGTATAAAAAACATGTGATCAAATTCTTCCTGTAGCTTTGCAATGGCATCAGTATACTTACCACTGAATAGTGTGCCCAAGTCCATAAGTAGCCTACTTCTCTAAGAACCATAATGCAAGATGAGAAAAATCATAGAGCCACCCCATGGCCTAAATTGAACTGATTTATAGGCAGCCTTTTTTTTGTTATTAGCCTCATAATAACAACTAGACTAATTCTTCAGGTGTCTGATTTGAATTAAACTAATTTTTGTTAAGTTTTTTGGCTTAAATTTAAATATAGTATAGAATTAGAGATAGTAATGTAATGATCAACAAACTAAGTGATGTGAGTGTGAGTCAATTTTATTTTGTATTAATATTTGTAATAAATAGGCCAAATTTTCATAGTTAGTGAGTTAAATGATTATTTTTTTGGTGTTCGTCCGTCGAAGTCGACCATTGGGTCATCCAAAGGTTAGGGGGAGGTTGGGTTATGGTGAGCTCGTAGGTGGCTTGCTAGACCGATCCGTGCTCGGAATAATCTTTGGCATCGCGGGCAGGGGATAGTTGCTTCAGACGGTGACTTAATATTGCTCTTTCGGGCAAGCCTGCGTGTCTCAGCTGTGGATATCCTATTAGCTGCATGGGATTTAGCCCCCTTCTTGACAGAAGCTCTCCACCTGGCTCTGTCCTGGGCTGTCTGCACCCATTGAGTAGGGTTTATGCTGAAGGCCTTTATAGCCACTTTCAGTGAGTCTTTGTAGCGCTTTTTTTGACCTCTTTGGGAGCACTTGCCTATCGTGAGTTCTCCGAAGAATATCTGTTTCGGGAGCCGGTGGTCTTCAATACGGGCTACGTGTCCCATCCAACGGAGCTGAGACTGCATCACAGTGGTGAAGATACTAGGTAGGTTCGCTCTAGCGAGGATCTCGGTGTCGGGGACTTTGTCTTGCCACCTGATGCCGAGGAGTTTCCTGAGGCAGGTTATGTGAAAATGATTCAGTTTCTTGGCGGGTAGACTGTCCACGTTTCACATCCGTAGAGCAGTGTCGGGAGGACTGCTGCGCTTTAGACCTTGATCTTCGTTTCTCGTCTGATACCTCTCCTGTCCCAAACAGTGCTGTGGAGCCTGCCAAATATGGCACTAGCTTTTGCGAGTCTGCCATTCATTTCATCATCCATGACGACATGATTATATATAAGTATAGGCATCACTGGGATTTTTCAACTTTGAACCACCAATTCCCAGGCCATGAAAAAGTTCACAAAACATAAGGGAAAAGCTTTTTTTTCATTTTTATTAATTAAGCATTATCAAAGGACAATTTTTTTTAGTTGCATAATCATCCTGATCCAGTAGCCACTTGGGCATGTGTTCTTCAGCCCGAGACCACAATGAAAAATTAGGTCTTCCTCAGTTGGTCTTGATCTGCATGTAGGGTGTTCTTTAGTCTGGCAATTGTGGTACATAGTCGAGGTGTAAGTCCTAAAGTGCTGGGCAGGCATCACATTCTTTGCAACATTCATTAATTTCTATTTCTGGAATATTTATCCTTGATTTCTTAAACAGTAGACACATTTCATTACAGGGAGCTAATGCATCCCAGTTGGAGAAGGAAATAGGTTCAGAACAGTTTCCAACTAATGAACATTACTTTGGCTTGGTCAATGTAAGTATATACTTCTTTTTATTGTTCATGCTTTTTACATTTTTACAACAAAGAATATTTAAATGGAGAAATGTACAAAAAAAATTGTGAGCGACTTTCAGATGAGATCATTTCATAAAGACAAGAATGGTCTTTCTCATACACTTTAGTTGTTTATTAAAAACATGGTTGACACTTTTGCACAAAGTTAGTTTTTACCCTCTCTTCACTTCACTATTTGATTGAACAAAAGAACTGTTTAAATGACCATTAAAATGACACATCTTATTTTCATCATTTCCATCCCTTCAGTTTGGCAATACATGCTATTGTAATTCAGTGCTGCAGGCGCTTTACTTTTGTCGACCCTTTCGTGAGAAAGTACTTCAGTACAAGCATCAGGTCAAAAGTTTAAAGAAGGAGACACTCCTCACATGCCTTGCTGATCTCTTCTATAGTGTCGCAACCCAAAAGAAGAAAGTTGGTACCTTGGCTCCGAAAAAATTTATCACCAGACTGCGCAAGGAAAATGGTATACAAATAACAGATCAATTTTTTTTATTTTTACTGTTAAGCCTGGCTATTTATTTAATGTTGAGCTCAAAAGCATTTATCTTATGTGTACGATCATCTAAAATATATTCTGCTATATATTTTATTAAAGAAAAGTTTCCACACATTTTTAAAATTAAACTTCAATATTGATACAAATAATTTAGGATAAGTCAAATATTATGATCAGTCTATTTGATAATATTCATATTGTTTATGGATTAATACTTTACAAATATTATTAATTTCCAAATTGATCTTCAGAACTATTTGACAATTACATGCAACAAGATGCCCATGAATTTCTAAATTACTTGCTCAACACTGTAGCTGACTTACTCACAGGTGAGAAGAAATATTTCATTTTTCTAATTCAATTAAAAACTATTCATTATTATTATTGATTTATAACACAGTGTCCCTAAAATTATATTAAATGCTATGATTGCATTTGAATTTGTTAAGATTCAAAGGGCCTCCATTTTTTTCCAGATCTTTCTGTAAATGCTGGAAAAGTTGCTTTCTTTCAAGTATAACTAACATTCCTGCTTTCTCTTATAAACGACACCGGAACTTGTCAACTCAATGCTCATCTTTAAATGCTTTTGTATCCCTTGTATGGACATATTTTGTTAATCTTTAACCCTATAACTGTCATAACGGCCGATGATCGGAGAGTCAGATATTGACAATTTTAGCCCTAAGCTTAGTCATATTGTTACAGACAAATTTGTTTGGGAAAGGGTGGAAATCGAACAGAAAAAGACACAGATTTGATCCCAACGATCTACCCCTAATATATTTTTGTTTTTATATGTTCTGGAGTATTCATTAATAAAAAATGTATTTAATAACTTCAAATGAAAAGAAATTTTTGAACTCATTTCGTGCCTTCCCCTTGTATTTTGTATGACAGAAATTTGAAGGTAGTCAATGAAAAAATTCACCAATATCACAATTTTCCATATAAGTAACTATAAATTGTCATTTTCTGAAAGAATATTGCTTCTAGTATATCAAAAACTTGATTTTATGATAGTTTGAACAATTTATGAAGTATTTAGGATGGGTTGAATTCAGAAGTTGAGTAGTAAAATTTCACTCACTCTGTAAAGGTCAATATCAACATACATAGTATAAAAAAAAATTCTTTTCATACCATAAGATGCCTTGTCCAGTTATAGGGTTAATGTAATCTTGATTCATGCAATATATGTACCATTTTTTTTTAATAGGCTGATTTATTAAATGTGAATAAAAAGTGGACTGAACTCTTTCTGCTTAACACCTGTCCTATTATTTCAGCTGAGAAAAAGGGAAATCAGAAAACCCCAGAAACCAACCACAGTGTCAAACCAGACCCAACATGGGTGCATGAAATTTTTCAGGGAACACTGACCAACGAGACACGGTGTCTCACTTGTGAAACAGTAAGATATAACTTTTCATGCGGCTGTCACAGGGTTATTTTAAGACTCTGGGCATAATTACTTTAGTAGAGTTTATTTGTCTGGTAATCCTTGGCATCGTTAAAAATGCTTACATTTACAAAATCAGATTGGAATGTTAGGCTCCCTAGATAATCAATTTTTTAAAAACTTTAATTACATTATAGCATTCAGTTTACATGTTGTAAGGTCTCGGCCATGTATTAAGCCAAACAGAGTAACTATTTTACAAGCCAACCATATTTTTTAAGTTACTGAAATAAAAGCAATTTTCCAGTGCTGGTGAGCATCCAAGACTTGCTGAAGCCATAATTTATATTTTTTAATATTTTAGGTGAGTAGTAAAGATGAGGACTTTTTGGACTTGAGTGTTGATGTAGAGCAGAATACGTCTATAACACACTGTCTTAGGGGCTTCAGCAACACAGAAACCCTGTGCTCTGAACACAAGTATTACTGTGAGGTGTGTTGTAGCAAGCAGGAGGCTCAGAAAAGGTCAGTGTTATTAGTTAATCTACCTTTCTATTTTAAAAAATGCGGAAAGAAAATTAGTTTCATATTATTAAAATATTGGTTTACAATCTATTCTTGGCCACAAAATTTTGGTGGGAGTAAAATAAAATAAAAATTTAAAACACCCCCCACCCAACCTCGCCTCTCTCTTTTAAAGAAGCATTTGGTAATTAACACACATTAATAATAATTTTCGAATCTTTTTTTTTTAAAGAATGTTTCTGATATTCATCTACTCTGACATTAAAGATAATGATTAGAATGAATCGTTGTTTATTTGGAACACATTTATTTAGAATTAATTTAAAAATACATTTTTCTGGTTTATTATTTATGTCATTTAATTATAATACATAGATTTGGAGTTTAAAGCTTACTTTGTGTTTTTGTATCTATGTTGCTCCTCTGATTCTTGCAGGATGAGAGTTAAGAAATTACCACAGATTCTAGCCCTTCATTTGAAACGTTTCAAGTATATGGAGCACCTTAATCGATACATCAAAGTCTCTTATAGGGTCGTCTTTCCGTTAGAGCTTCGCCTTTTCAACACGGTAAGTGGTTGCTGTTGCCAGCCAAATCATACGGGGGCCACGTTGCTTCCAGCATGTGGCTGGTGTAGTTAATGTTATGAACTTGTTTAAGCTAATGCTACTTGTTGGTGATGACTATATCTTAATGCAGCTGATAAGTTTGGACAGACACCCCCATCCCCCTGCCAACTTTCCACCTGTAGTTCATCACGATTCTACTACAACGAACCAAATAGATTCATATTTTAATAGGGAGCTGATAAAAAGTGGCTCATGATCAAATTAACTTGAAATATAACACTATAAATAAAACTTCATTGTTTCAGTCTGATGATGCCTTCAATCCAGAACGATTATATGATTTAGTGGCAGTTGTTGTTCATTGTGGATCAGGGCCGAACAGAGGTCACTACATTAGCATTGTCAAAAGTCACGGCTTCTGGCTGCTGTTTGATGATGATATTGTAGATGTAAGTATAGATGGATCATTATTAGAAAACTCATCTAAATATAGATCACTGGTGGAATAGCTTTTTTAGCTAAAACCCCAAAATCAAAGACTATTTAAATTCAAAAAAGCTTGGCCATATAATAACATGGACAATACAATAATATTAAAGTATAAATCTTAGAAATTATTTAGCTAAAGATGAAATAATAGGCATATAGGCCAAAATGATGTATACAAGACAAGACATAAATTATACTCAACTAGGTTAAAATAACGTATACCTCCTCGTATATCTAGGCCAAAATGATGTAAACAAGAAACTACATGATGTTATGCAAGTTACTGAGCCAGTAAAAATTCACCTCATGTTGGGGGCTTTTCCCTGTTACGCTGGCTAGGTGCAATGTTATCAGAGCCAAAATATACGACCTACCAAAGAACACTCCTTTGTCTATTGATCCCTCATTTTTCATTTTTACCCTATTTTGGGTAATTTACCCCCGTTTGCCGACCCCCCTGGTATTGATGACTCATTGTAATAAAAGTTTTGTAAGCATAGATGGATCATTGTGAGAAAAGTTATGTAGGTTTAGATGGATCATTGTGAGAAAAGGTATGTAAGTAAAGATGGATTATTGTAATAAAAGTTTTGTAAGCATAGATGGATCATTGTGAGAAAAGTGATGTAGGTTTAGATGGATCATTGTTTGCGACCCAGAGGTTGAGAACCGCTGGTTTAGATGAATCATTGTTAGAAAGTTATGTAAGTTTAGATGGATCATTACTAGAAAAGTTATCTCTGTAAAGATTGATCATAGCTAGGAAAGTTAGATATCATATATTTTATGCCTTTATGAAATATACACATTGCCAATATCAGTGTGCTTATATAAACACTGCTATTTACTTATACTTAACATTTTTTTTTTACTACACTTGGATACTTGGGATAAACATGCTTAATCATTTTCATACCTTGAAACTTTTAAATATTTAAAAAAATAAATAATGAAAATTAAAGTTTAGTGGTTATTCTTAGCTACTGAATGAACCAAGAAAAAAATAATCTTGATCTGACTTAGGATTTCCTGTGTTCTTTCTGCAGAAAATTGATGCCAGCCAAATTGAAGAGTTTTACGGAGTCCCGTCTGACACACAGAAGAATTCATCCGAGTCAGGTTACATCCTGTTCTACCAGTCCAGGGAGTGAGCTGTTGCCTCACAGCCCAGCACATATCAAGAGAAGCAGACCTCTGCAAGTGTACAGCATGAATCAGAAATTAAGACTCCTAGTGCTTGTAGCTTTCACAGACATATTTTGTCCTTTTTTTTTTTAAGTTAGCAGATAATTTTTTTTCCGAAATCTGAAAAGCACTGCTTCGTTAGCTTATTACATTGTAGGTACATTTGTACTAGAGATTTAAACTTATAAATTTTCATACACTTCAAATCCATTGATTCCATTCTGTTTGTGTCAGTGTTTTAATACAACCTGACTTAAAAGTTTATCATAGTTTTAATAGTTTTACAAATGTTGAATAATGATAAATGTCATAATTTGACTAAAAGATGTAGCTCGAGACGTTTGAAGAGAGAAAGAGTCTGGCCAAAGTCTTATCACTTTGTTCTTAACACTTGACTCCAAATAAATTTAAAAAACCCGTTGGAGATACCACTCGGGGTAATTTTTTCCATCTCAGACAACAGCTGTAAAAATAATAAAATATAACGAAAAAAAAAAGACAGGCTGTTAAAACTTTTGCAATGGCAACTTGAAGGATGATACAAAGAATTATATTGCCATTAATTTTTGTTTAATGTGTAACCAAAACTTTACTTTGCCATTGAAAAAGGTAGAAGAAATATGCTGGTAACATCATAAACCCAGCATAATTTGATGGTTTATTTAGCTTCAAACAGTTTCAGTTAGTTGGATAGCAACTTTAAAATTTTGTAAGCATCTCCAAGAAACTTGAGTGTGTTGAGTGAGACAGTGTTGTATATAAGTGTGTGTTGTGCTGTAACTGTAAACGGAGAGATCGAGTTGCTGCAGATGTGCCACAGAGGCATCAGTTAACCAATGTGTACATAACCCAGGCCAGCCTTGACAAACACAGCAACTTACACAAGAATACAAATTCTCCTGTGATATGATGCCCTCCTTATCTATGTGATATTGCCAGCTGCTGGCGTAACCATTCATGGAATAACAAAACACATGAACTCGTGTCATCATTATCTCACAGGCCTTGTCACCTGCATATAAAAACTTCTTTTTTTTTTCTTTTCTTTTTTTTTAAATGCAGGAATGAATGCTTTAATTAACAGTATACATTTCTATTTATTTTAAATGCAGGAATGAAAACTTTCATGAACAGTACACATTTCTATTTATTTTAAATGCAGGAATGAATACTTTAATTAACGGTATACATTTCTATTTATTTTAAATGCAGGAATGAATGCTTTAATTAACTATATACATTTTTATTTATTTTAAAACTGCGGACTTGGGATTTTTTTCTTTTCATGTAATGAAACTTCATTCTTGATGGATTTTAATGTTTATCAGGGTTCATTGAAGCAACATCTACTGCAGGATCTGTCCTACATATCTAATCAGGATTATTACCTTCAGTAAAGTGATGACAAATTTGTTGGAGAATAGAGTGCGGTAAAAAGTATATAGGTCACAGTAGGAGATACTGTTTAACAGATATCTCACCACGAGGGGGGTCACAGAAGAATATAGTAAAAAAAAACAAACAAATAAACTCCCCACCCTGGTATTTGAGTATGCTACATGTTCCCTGTATTACAGTGTACAAGATGTGAACATGTGTTTCCTGTATATCAGTGTACAAGTCCCCCTGCGAGTCCATGTACAAAATGTCCCAAAGCTCCCTGTCTAATCACCAACCGTTCGAACCTTGATGTTTCCTCACTGTAAATAGATGACCTCACAGAAGCCCTACTTACCAATGTTGTGACCAGTTTTGTACTTCAGTTAGGGTTGCTTCACCCCATCACTGTGCTGTATAATAGGATTTCTTGTATATTTAATCAGATATTGTAATCCAGCTTGTAAATTCACAGACTTGAGTCTCCTGTTGTGTCATATACCATTTTCTACCATATTTATGCAGCAGAAATAAATTGCTATTAACATTTTTTAAATGTTATTACCCATTGCCTCTTGTATGAACCATACTCAGTAACAGAATTAACACATTTAAACATTTTTTGTCAAAAAAAGATATTTCTTATTTCATTTAAATTACTTTTTTTTTTAGGATTAGTATTCAAAACCTCTTTTTTAACATTTGTTTTTCTTTAAATTTTTTAGTTTTTCAAGTTTAACACATGAATTAAGTAAACAGAAGTGGTCTGAAACATAGACAGTGGTCTGAAACATAGACGACTAGTTGGCATGTAGAGTCTGTAATTTTGCATGTGGGTTGGGGAGGAGGGTGTCACCTTGGACTTCAGTAACTCTTATTATGCTAATGCGCAATTACATTTTTAAAAAAATGTATGCTTTTGTAAACTAAAATACCTCTTATTGTTGAGAAGTAGGAGTTAAGCTTTTTAAAAAGCAAACGCCAAAAGCAAATATTTGAAGGAATTTGAACAATATCTCTATCTTCAATGTTTCTTGCATATTATTAGGCTTTCATAATTCTTAAAAACATATTTAATTTTCGAATGATTGTTACATTAAGTACTGCTTCTGAACAATTTAGCTTCACCATGTATTTATTTTACAGTAGATGGATTTGTTCAAATGATCAGTGGGGTCTCACAACTACTTAGTGATAATAAGATACAACAATCTTAATAAAATCTATCAACTATAATTAATGCTATGGTATTGTAGACATTTAGCTAAATTTAGTGTTTGAGTTGTAGATTTTTTTTTAATTCTCTAAAATGAATGAAACATGCATGCTCTACCAAGGATATAAATATATCTCACAGTGACTTTGAAAAAAACAAACAAATAGTCAGTGCTTTAATTAATTGATAAGAGAATGGTTGCCACTGACACAGGAGGGTGTGTCATTAGTTTTCAACTAGGAGAATCCCTGAGGACTGGTTATTACAAATTAAGTGTATTTCTCTTATTGAAAAGCTGAGTTCTAGGAAGAGTTGTCCCATTGTGCAGAGTTATGTGCGTCATCAGCATTGAAGGTTTTTTTGTTTTTTTTTAACCCAATGAGTTTTAAAAAAAATGATATTTGGACTTGTTATCACCAGTATTGATTTTATGAGTGAATATTTTTTTCTTTTGTGTGTTTTTTTTTTTGGCTAACATTTGTAAAGTTAACAAAAGGTTAATGAAATGCTGTGAGCCATCCATCATGTCTTATGAGACAAACATAATTTTTCATTATAAAATCATTCATTTCTGACTCGCAGTCTCTTTAAGTGAATTTAAGAATGGAATAAAAATGCCCTGCCTGTCTTGAGGTCTCGTCTATAAATTTCAGTCTGAAGCCTCTGCCATGTCAACTCAAGATGTGTGTGTGTGTGTGTGTAAACTAGCCCAAGGCAAGGTCAAAGAACATGAGTTTAAAAGTTATCAGGAGCACTGTATATATTGAATGAGGCATTGTAACTAAATAATTGTTAAGTTGGATGTGACCTCAACAATTGGTTGTGTTTTTTTAAAACATAATGTATAATGATGTTGTTTATTCCCCTGCTTTTTAAAATTTTTTAGTACCAAAAATGCGTTTTTATGTTTGCTTTGTTGAATATTTCCTTTTTTTCGTATAATTAAGATTTGATATTTGTTTTTTCCTTTTTTAAATTTTGTGTTATTTGCGTTGTTAGTTTCTTCTAGTTTTTTCTATTTAGTCTTTAAATGCTAATTGGAAGCTTTGTAGTGGGTTGACAAAGTTAGATACAATTTTGTCTTTTTAAAAAAAAAAATGTTTAAATAATTTTTGGAGATGTGTCACGCTATTTTTGTACTCTGATTTCCTGTGTAGGCATGTTGTACCAAACAAGCCCAGGAACGAAATCTACAGTATGATATTGTATTATTATTTATAAATATATAAGCTACTTTAAAACAAGGGAAGTAACACTAGTAACATTCCTCAACACCTCCTCAGAAAGTGAAGTTATTTTTGGATAACCAGAAAGGAAGTTTTCCTATTCATTCTTTATAAAAAAAAAATAGTTTTAACAGATAAAGGAGCAAATTACATTTTAAAAAGAATTTAAACCTTGAACTTACTTGGTAATAAGATTTGGTCATCTGTATGACTGAAGATACAATTTTAATTTTTTTCTATACCCTATCCATTTTCATAGCATTAAAAAGTTATAAATTTTTTTAATTTGCCCCAGCAGTTGCTATTGTTTCAATGTTTTTTTAACATCTGTTTTTTTTTAGTGTTGCCCAAAAAAAGTGTTGACCTGACCAAGTCTACAGCTTAACCCTCTTAAGACGGCTGTGCCCATCTTCGGCTCAGAGTCGAATGGCGAAAAAGGCAAATGGCCCATCCTTCTGCCCAATAATACAAGCCTCAAGATGGGCTGGCCGGTCTTGTACCAGCTGATCAGATTGCTTCTCACATTTTTTTTTTAACCTAATGACCCCCCCATAAATGCTTAAAAATGTGTGACCTTGAAATACAGGTATGCAAAAAGGCATAAGCAGCCTCAGGGGAATATTTTATGAAGTTTTTTATATAGAATCTCATTCAAATGTTTGTTTGGACTTATTTAGGCTTCAGCAATCAGAAAATTCAATAGTGTTCTTAGTGTAAAAAAAAAAAGTTGCATGCATAAATCATGCAAATTATTATATCTCATTTGCATAAATGTTGAGATTTCATTGATTCATAAAGATCATATTAGTTCACTCAGTTTCTTAGAAGAATGTATGTAGTTTAATAGTTGTAAAGTAATATTAAGTAATTAGTTTATTTTTTATAAATATTTTTGCAAAGTAAGTAAGTGCAGGGCTTGTGAAAAGGACTCCATGTTCTCTGCAGTCTTTTTGGCACTGACAGTCCAACAAGTCTTCATCTCAAGAGGGTTAAGTTAATTGTGAAACTTGAATCTCAGGTCTCATTGCTGTTATGTTGTATTACTTTACTATGGTGGGCAGGGATTGCAAATGTTATTAAATGTTAACTTAAAAATTATTAAATAACAACTAAGATATGCTTGAGATTAAACATGGCTGGGGACAGGACATTTTTAAAATAGTTATTTCAATTTCAAAGAATTTAAATCCTTTACAAATGTGAAATTTATTGAAAGCACAGTGCACCTCTCCAGAAAATAAGTTAGAAATGTAAATAGTCTAGAATTTTTCCAATGAATTTGGATGCAAAAATTTATTAATAAGCTGTTCTTAATAACATTTTTAATTTAAGAAACTTTGATCTCCATTATATTTGTTAGAAGGTTAGTTTTGGTTCAGTTAATGCTTTTTCTGCCAGTAATTTGACAACATGCCAATTTGTTGCCATGAACCTTTGAAAATAGTTTTGCAGTTTAAGAGCCGCAATTTTTAACAAACGCATTAAAATGAAGCAAATCTTCCATGTTCTTTAAATGATACAAAAAAAAACTTTACATATGTTAATCCTGTGTAAAGGTGCACCTGGTTGTAGGGACAATATGCTAATGTTACGTGTGCTACTGCAATGAGAAGTGCAATAATAACTTTAATAAAACATTTTGTTATTTGAAGGGAAAAAACTAAGTCTCGGCTGACCCAAATCCTTAATTTGGGCTATATAGGGATAATCTTTTCATCTTATGGTATTTACAATGTGTGGTAGATTGGAGGAATGATATACCTTTAAAATATTTGTTAAAAATTGTTGTCATTCAATTACCTTAAAGTGATCCTGATTTTAAAATTCTTATCAACTCCTTTTAACAAAAATTTAAATCAATGTCTTAAAGTTGACCTTAAGTAGTGTATTTTATTCTAAGTTATTTCTAAATTTAAAATAATAATTCAGCTGTTTGTCTTGATATATATTTCAAAATATATATGAAAATATTATCACCAACATAGGCACAGAGAAAAATTGGTAATCAACTAAAGAAAAAAAAGAGATGTGTGTAATATTTAAATGCAATACATTGACATTAATCAACAGATGTTTTAAATAAATTGATTTATATATATAAATGAACTGATGTCTGAACTTACTCAAAGTTTGGGAACTGCATGAACTCTTGTGTGCTTGTTTAAAGCTGAACAAATATTTACTGCATGTGCTGACTTTGGTCAAAATTTTGACAGACTACACACTGTGCTTGTATAAAATTATTAAAATACTAGTATTTTTCCCCTCTCATGTGACTTGTCCAGCTAAATGCAATTTATTATCTATATCTACCAGTTATTTTTGAATCTGAAATGGGGGGATAAATAAACCAATAAAAATTCTTGTTGAAATTCAAATCTCCTGTTTCATTGCATCTTGTTGAAATGAGATATTGCCTCATAAAAATTAAAGGATCATATTATTAGACCAGCCATGTTGGACCACATTGTCACTCAAAGTCCAGGCAAACATCTTGTATTTTTATTTCTGATGACAGCAGATAGAAGGACTGATTAGCTTATGGTTTGAGATTTATTTGTGGTCAAATTAAAATTAAACAAGTATTTTAGTGAAGTATGATGAAAATGCAATTCATAAGGAAACTTAATTCAATAAGTTTTAATGGCTGACTTCCTTATTTACTGAAGATGATGTCCAATGTATTCATTCCAATGTTCTAACAAATAAGCCAGATTACTGCTTACTTCAATAAATTAGTGCTTTAGTAATTAAATCTTTAAATCTGCTAATTTAGTGAAAGGCCAAACAAGACACAATGAATATTGAACAATATTTCAGACTATTTTTTCAACAGTTTCTTTAATTTAAACACCATTTGCCCAGAAGTAAACAAACAGGATAAGGAAAAGATCACTCAACTCAAACATTAAAATGTTGCAAAGTGCCATAAAAAACAAACATACTTTTGATGAAGTACCGGTATATCAAATTGATATTATTAATTAAAAATGTGTATGCATAAGAATTAGTCACTTACCCTATGGAATGATGAGCATGACATAAAAATAAATTTTCACTGCCTTAGAAAAAAAAAATCGGATCTTGAATTATAAATTATTAAAACTGAACATTATAACTGAGAATTACTTACTTTAAAAAAAAAAAAAGCGTTTTTAAAAAATTTATACAACTTTACGATTTTATGCATCAGCATTGCAAATGCAAGATTTAATAAGTTATTAAAAAGTGAGGCGAGCTTTAAGCTTAACCATAATAGGGCAAGACACTCATGTTGAGTTCAGAGTTGTCAAAAATAATTATGAACATAACTACCATTTTGATTTTGTGTGTATGTAACATTTGCCCAGATTATGTAGTAAAAACACATTTAATTGGAGACATAGATTGATTTTTAAAATGTGAAATAATTTTTTTTAAATAATGAACTGTCAAACATTAACACCATTAAATAATTTTATAATAAGTGTGCCAAGAAACAATACATATGCAGCAACATTCAAGCACCACAAATATACCATAGCTCTCATTTATTAAAAAACTTGGTAAATACAAATAAATGAAAACAATCAATTTAATGGAACAATTTAGTTAATAATTACAACATGACTATGGACTGATAAGAGTAATCCTCAAAATAAAAGAGGACCACCAGAAACAGGGAACTGCACGTAGGTAATTTTATATGCTTGGAGGAACCAATGATATTTTCTTTAATTCTCTGTATTCATTGCCTAAAATCTGTTTCCTGCTGTGTACTGATCGGGGAACACAATTTTGTGACTACCAGAGCCTTGCACCTTTGGTAATGTTCCAGCATTAGGGATGACATTCCATGAGAGGGTCAAGGTCACATTTTCATTGCCTCTGTTAAAAAAAAGCCAACAAATAAATTTTTAAGATACATGACAATGAGTAAATGCAGAAATTACTGCTTAAAACTATTAAAAGCAATTAAAAATCTTTGAGTCTGACCTATAAGCAAATAGAAATCTGTGAGTCTGATCTATAAGCAATTAGAAATCTTTTAGTCTGAATTATAAGCTATTAGAAATCTGTTAATTTGACCTAATATTTCTCCATGCAGGTGTCTGTATCATTTTTCATTTTTACAAGATTGTGTTATGTAATTCCCATGGCAAACTTCTAACTAGGGACAAGTCATGATTAGCTAGGTACTGATGCTGTAGAAGGCTCCCACAGATGCAGCAGAATATTAGAGATGTGATGTTGCTTGGTCATGCCTCAGTACCAGTTAGTGAGGACAAAACGAAATGAATTTCCCATTTCTTGGGTTTTAATCTTCAGAAACATTTGATGTTTCTATTCATGTTCAAGAAAAAAACAACAAAAAACCAAAAACATTGCATGCTACAACAAAAGTAATGAGCTTTGAACAAAATGACTTACAGAAAACAAAAAAAGAACTTACTTCAGTCCATTTCCAAAGTCCCAGAAGTAATACTTGGTGTTGGCATTCCTGAGATCTAAAATAGTATTGTCTCCCCTTTCCACAATTTTGTCCCATAAAACTACTTGATTAAGAGCCTGAAAAATTGAAAGTATGAACTCTTTGGAATGGCTCAAAAACATCTACCGTTAAAACTAAAATAAAATAAAAATGGCCACATTCTTACTCAATAAATTTTCCAATAGTTATAACAAAAAATAAATATTGAAAACGAAATTTGGTAAACCTTGATAACAAAGAGTGATATTTTATGTTGCATGATTTACACAATCTTCTTTCAAAAGTGTGTTGAACCTATCGCTCAAACAGTGGTATTGATTCTTACATGATCTTTTGTCTTGTACTCAGCCGTCAAATACAGAAACAATTGTTTGACATTCCAGTTGAATATCGGGCCCAGATGTTGACTGTGTTAAGGTTAAAATTAAATTTCAGCATTCAAATTTTTGTATGATAGATGAAAGTTTATTTAAAACAGAAAATAAGGCATAATACAATACGAAATTTACAAAAAAATTATACATAACTATTGTTATCAATTTTTTTATGCAACTCGGCAGCCACTGAGTTGACGATGTTTTCTCCATTCTACTAAGACGGTTATGTCAAGGAATTTAAATAATGGTAAAGGATATCTGTATATAAATCAAATGTGATGAAGCCAAGGTCACTCTTTTCTCTGTCAGCTGAGTAATCCGGAACATTTTTTCTGGAAGAAAAGAAAAATACTAAGAATTATATGATATACAGAAATAGATTTGTCTTGAATTTGACAGATCCAGTCTACACATTTAGAAATACTGTACACAATTTAAAATATAAATACCCTGTAAAAAAATTTAAAAAACACAGTACACAAAAACTGAAAAGCCAAAATAATTATCATTAATCAGTTTGATTAGCCTAGAAATTACAATCAGTTTTTATTTTTATAAATTTATTAGCATTTAAAAAAAAATCATTTATGATGTTTGGACATGTGTTAAAATAGATGTGACTATGCCACCATTGATTCTGTTTCTGCTATCAGTTTGTATTTTTTTAATTTGAGAATTATATCTTACAGTATAGATTACATTGCAGTATGAGGAGGTCAGAGGAGAGTTGTAAAAATATAAAATGTCACTTAAGAGTATGAAAGGCTGAGTCTCTGTTAAAATAAAGTCAGTACCAGTGACGTTGCCCATTGGGATGACTCAATAGTAAAAATCTAAGGAACTTTTTAAGCCAGTCAATTAGAAACTTCCAACTTATGTTGTCTGAAGTTACATTCATGCTGGGGATTTGTCCCTGGGATTCTTAGCTGGGTAATGTAGCCATATGAATAGCAAGATTTCTATTACCATGTGTTGCTTGCTGGAAAAACAGGTATCACTTCACAGTTTTGTAGTATAATTGTTGGCTGGCTATATATACACACAATTACGTTATATTTTTTTATCAGTGCACATGACTTGTCATCAGCTGACAGGGCTTGTTTACAAACTATTAGTATTTGATAGTTGCCCTACCAGTAGGCATATTCCGTAGTTCGAGGATTAAAATTTGTGAAAAAAATTCAAGTTTGATTTTATTGAAGTGATAAAAAAAAAGAAAAAAAAAAGATGACAGGGAAAATGGCATATTTTTTAATTTTTAAAATAGAATAAAGTTAAAGATACAAAAATATATACAAATTTAAATAGTTTTTCACATGTATGGGTGGTTAATCACTTTAACTCATTCCCGACCGTTGTGACTAAATGTGTCATTTAGGGGTTCTGATGGATGCGTCCTGGCATTTAACGTCCCTTGAGACTTCCGGCGATGGCATGTTTTTAATTTAAAAACCAGAAGTTTATATCTTGTTTCACTTTCAATCTTTAGTATGGTTCTTCTTTATCTCGTATGTGTTTATCCGAGGTGCCTAGAATAATATATTTTTTGTCAATGCTAGTTCATTTTTGCTGTTCATGCTATATTTTTCATTACAACTTTATTCATTTCTGGATGCATTTATCCTTAATTCATTAATATTAATTAATATTTAGTAGCTTAACAAATATTTTACAAATGTAATCAACAGCATAACGGAATTAATTCCCTTCATCAGGCATGTAAATTAAGTACAGAAATGTAATCAACAGCATAACGGAATTAATTCCCTTCATCAGGCATGTAAATTAAGTACAGAAGTACCACTGCCGCCAGTAATATGTTATTTGGGTAATATCCTCACTTGATTCTAACTAATTAAGTTAGTGCTTTAATATAGCCACTTTTCCAAACACCACATATGACAATGTTTAACAGTTACATTATGGAAACGTGATTATTTATTCACTCTTACATGTAATGTAAAATTATATGAAAAAAATTGCATTTCTTAATTCAAAGAGCCACATGCACATAATTATAAACAAAAGGTCTGCATCAGAAACCATACCTATGTCAATCATAACTTTCTGGAGATTGTAAGCATCAATAAATAGCAGTGGCTTGTCAACATGGATTTATCACCATCATTTGATTTGTGACTGCAACAAATCTGGAGTGTGAACATACCTTAGTCTAACCTTTATGCTACCAGTATTGGCTACTCAATGAGATAAAATATCGCTGTAGGGAATTTAATTATGCCTCCATATGGCCACTAATGTTTTAACGTATTTAATTATTCACCAATAATTTTTATTCAACAATAATTTATAACTGCAAAGCTCAAAGCAGTAAGAGGTGATGTAATCAAATTTGATATTCTGTGGGTTTCCAAATATGCCTGATCTCATTCCGGTAAACTTGTAAACTTTAACAGTTAAAACAGTTTGCTCAGGAATTGACTAGTAGTGGGATATTTAAAAAAAATCATTTTGACACACCTAGTGTTTCAGAAACAAGTTAAAACTTTTCCCAAAAATTTAGAGATTCTGGCATTTCCAGCATTTTGGACTGGAAGTGGAAGAGTCTAAAGTCGGGAGGATGACGGCGTTTGCCAGACCAAAAATTCCTGGGGGTCCAAAATTTATTTTTTAAAAGAAATTCCGGTTGACTTCCGAGCACGTTAATTCAAACAGTCAAATTTTCCAGAATGCAATGCCCTCTTAAGGTTGGCGCCTAGGATGGGTACCCCTTCACCCCACTACGCAAGGCCCTGTCAGTGCCATAGGGAAAGGAGTTTGAAAATGTGATATTTTTTAAGGTACTAACATATGGATTGAACATTACAGGTGATGAGGGTGTATAATTCTATTTAATATTTTTTTTGTGGATCATTTCCTGAGGAAAAAAAGTGTGTGTGGGGGGGGGGGGGGGGGAGTGTTTAGAAATTTAAAAAAGGTTCAAAATAGTGTGCTATCATTTTTTGGATGGTACCTAAGTATGAAAGTTCAATGTCATGCATACACTTAATATAAAATTCTATTTTCATTACAGGTGATGAGGGTGTATAATTCTATTTAATATTTTTTTTGCGGATCATTTCCTGAGGAAAAAAAGTGTGTGTGGGGGGGGGGGGGAGGGGGGTGTTTAGAAATTTAAAAAAGGTTCAAAATAGTGTGCTATCATTTTTTGGATGGTACCTAAGTATGAAAGTTCAATGTCATGCATACACTTAATATAAAATGCTATTTAGATTTCAATATTGAAAAAAGAAATTAAATTCTCTAAAACAACACTTTACGCCCAATAGCGCCCCCCCAACAACAAACAAAACAACAAAGTAACAACTTTTACAAAGTCACTACTCAATGAACTTAATTACCATCATAAATCCAATGCGGCATACTATGAAAAAAACTATTATAAAACTAAACAATATTTCTTTAATATTTTAATTTTTATTGTGTACACGTCATCCTTAAAAATCGGTTAAATTTCAGACTGCTGTCTTGCAAGCCGGCTAGGTATTACGTTACTTACACTGATACTTTGGCCACTTTCACTTCAACAGGTCTTATGTGAGTATTGAATACGGTAGTCATGAAGCAACAAAATGTTAGTGCAGCCATTACACTAAGTGTAAAGGCAAACAGGGAATTCAATCTTGAAGTGAACGAATTCATTTTCTTGCAATATTGCTGCACGGAAATGAAAAAAGGGATTTTTTTTTTTACAGTAACCTCCCTTTAATAACTTAAAAATCGTTCGAATCACAAACCAAGTAGCGGAACAAACCCGATAACATACTTCCAATGTAAAGAAAGAGATATTGGTATTATCGGAAACTGTAAAACTCATACTTGTTACTGTCATTCAGCTACATCATTTGGGTAGGGTAAGGAGGGGCATTTTCACTCCCCCCCCCCCAGAATTTTCAAGATTTTAAAGATTTTTTCCCACTAGGTAATAGTTTCTAGGAGAGCAAAAAATCAAACACTGCAGAAAAAATATAAGAAAAAAAAAAAAAACTTTTATAACATTAAAAATAAAAAAAAAA